ACCTATCTGTCCTCTAAAAAACAATATATAATATGTGTGGGTGCACTTTGTAAGAAAGTATATTACTGACGTGGAAGAATCACACAGCAAAAATGTCAAAAGTGTGTCAGTCATTTACGAACAGAAACTAAAAACAAGCTCAGTCATGAAGGGGTTAAACATAAATAAAACACATGCAGCACCGGAGTTTGTTTCACATCAACAGTCACCATTTACTAGAACAATCTTGGTATTATTGCTTTTGCTTGGTTTTAAGAGTAGAGATATGAGCTGTCTATTGAGAAGCCATCTTTGTTTAGATGCAGCATAGATTTACATTCTGCTCTGTCTGTATTCCAGGTGCAGCTGGACAATTTGAGTGGTATGAGTTTAATGGCAGGCAAGGCTTTGAGCTCTGCACGCATGGCGGATGCAGTTTTGAGCCAGTCTTCACTTATGGGAAGTCAACAACTCCAGGATAGCGAGGAGAATGAAGGTAAGTAGATAAAGGTGCCTCTGCCCTGATGATTGCTTTGTGTCTGCTTGCAATCTCTGTTTTCCCTATATGTGTTACTTCTTCCAATCACCTGCATCATTGTGTTATGTTGTTTGTTTGTTTTTTTGCACAGTTTGAACTGAACTTTACCTTATACTGTTCTAATCAATATTTTACAAGCTAAATTCTAGAAAAGTGGGAAAGGGTTTTAACTTTTTGATAGGGTTTTATTTCTGCCTCCTCATTGGGTCAATTTTCACAAGTAACTTGGCAGGACTTGATGTGATGGCAATCCCACTGTTGACACATGCAGCAGTAAAAACTGGACAAAGTATGTAAACCTTGCATGGTGGGAACAAGGCACATAAAAAACAATTGATGTTTATGTGCCCTGTTCACACCCCATACATGAGCAGTGGTATAATCTAGATAAATCCCGTGCCAAATGTGTAACCCAGCAGCAACACTAGAATCAAATACAATTAATACCGTATTTTCCGGCTTATAAGACGATTTTTTATACTTAAAATCGGGGGACGTCTTATACGCCGGGTATCCAATCTAATCTGTCAGCCCGCTGGATGTGCGGTAATACTGTATGTACGGTAGCTTTGGCTACATACAGTATACCACGCTGAGCCAGTGACGGCTTGCGATGTATTCTATTAATGAATACAAAGTCTGCTCAGATTGGCAGAGGTTGTGTACATCGCTCACCGTGATTGGCTCAGCGCGGTATACTGTATGTAGCCGAAGCTACCGTACATACAGTATTACCGCACATCCAGCGGGCTGACAGATTAGCCTCCCTGGCGGTCTGATTATTTTTTATTCCTTTTTTGTTCTATTTTTTTCCCTTTTTTTAACTTTTAAAATTCCCGACGGTTCCGCCCCCCTGCGGCGCGGACGCTCGCAAGGGATGGAAGACGGATGCCGGCATCGGCCGGAGGACACAGCTGGGATCTTGGACAAGGTAAGAGTGTGGCTCGGGGGTACCGCTTATGGTACTGAAAATTCCCCCCCAGCCACTCTCGGGAATACTCCCATGGAGGTTAGTGGGTGTATTTAAACATTATTTTGGCCTATACTCCTCTTATACAATGAGTATAGGCCAAAACCTATGTTTTAACAGAAAAATTAGGGGGTCGTCTTATACGCCGGCAAATACGGTAATGGAAATTACAATGTAAAGAAGTGTTGCGCTCTAAAAAGAACTAAATATTTAATATGCGCTAATAAAACACAAATGAACATCAAACTCGTATAAAAAAATACCATAAAGTAATTCATAAAAAAAAAAATCAATCTGGAGAATAATACATATAGTGAAAATATCACTAAACAAAGTGATATGTAACAGTGAACTAAAAATCCAGACAGCTGTATAAGTGAATGTCTTAAATATGATAATCATTATCCATCATTCAATGCATAATAACACAAAAAATAAGACGAAACGTGCGCAGGGAGGAGCCGGCTCGAAGTGAGGTTGGAGTTACCACGTGCTGATGTGCCCGGAGTGTGGCAAGAGCTCTGCTTGTTTGTTACCTCCTATTTAGAAGCACATTTTATGGGATTCTTTGTTTAGCACACATGGTATGCGCTATGATGTGCCTGTTGTTCAATCTATGAAATCTAGTGAATTTACCTCCAAGGTGGATTGGGAACTGCTGGAGTCAGCTTGCCTGCTTCTGAGCTTTTGTGGTTAACCCCTACCAAGGTGAGAAGGTACCGCTTTTCTTGGCCTGTGAAAAGGTCTAAGGCTGGCCATACATCTGTTAAAAAAATTTTTTATTTCAACCTGCGGGCTGAACGGAAAAAATTGACGCTATTCCTCCATTAACACAAGCGTGTTGATCGAGGAATTGCCGCGGTTTGCATTGTATTCTGACAGGTGACCTGTCAAAATACCTGCTCAGAGGGGCAGCTCATTGGCTGCCCGCTCTGATTGCACAAGGATTTTCCATCAGGCTCCTGAAGAGGAATGCCCGCTGAAAGGAAGCCGACAGCCCCACACACAGTGCGAATTGCGGCCAGTAAATTAGAAAAACGGCCGACATTCTGCCAGTGTATGGGCACCTTTTAGTTTAAGGTGAGAGGTAGGGAGTGTTAAACACGGGTGGAGACACAGGAGCACAAGCACTCTTCTTTTTTTTTTTCCCCTCCGCTGCTCTTCCCCGCCTGTGTCAGCAGAGGCAGCAGGCATCAGAGGGGACACAGAGTCGATCCAGCTGCTGGCGCCCAGCGGGGAGCAGAGAAGCTATCAGGAGGCCGAGCAGGGTGGTGCAGGAGGAGAGCTCTGCTGCTGTGACAGGCAGAGCAGTCAGGATGGAGAGCGGAGCACAAACACGCAGTGATCAATACTAATCGCTGAGTGTTTGTAAATAACTGGGGACATAGTAAGCTTATTATGTCCCCAGTTATGAATGAACAGGAAGTGCTCTACATTACTTACTCTTCATTCATGATTGTGGACATACCGGTAGTAACTGATACCATATCCTCAGTTTATGAATGGACAGGGGCTCTCAGTATAGAGGCTTCCTGTTCATTCATAACAGGGGCTGCAGAAAAAGAGATTGATGGCTCTGTATCCTCAATCACTTTCTATTTTTTAAAGGCAAGTAACATGGGTCTGTTTAGACCGCTGATATTTCCCCAAAGCCCCTAAGAGTAAAGTTAAAAAAAAAAAAAAGAAATATATTACAAAAATAATTTTACATTTTTTTTTTTAAAGTTTGCAAAAAAGGTGATTTTGGGTTTCGGCCTGACAAATTTAGTATGAAATACTGATGTGTACAATTGTGAATTTTTTTTAATATTTTATTTTTTTTACTTCTTTTGCTTAATTACTTTGTCTGCTTCCTCTTAACAGATTGTGAGAGAACTCCAGAAGATACAGATTTATCTGTGATTGGAGACAATGGTCAACATCTCTCCACTTCTTGTTACCCCTCAACCATGCTTCTGGGGTACAAGCACACTGATATGAACTTCAGTATGGAGCAAGCAGGCGTGTGAGCAGAGGTATGATCTTCAGGGATTTCATTCTGTGTGATTGAACTTGTGCTGTAGTGCTGGTCATACGCACAGCAGTTTTCAGGCAATTTCAACCACTTTGAACCACAGCATCAGTGTTGTTTAATGGTTTCTATAGTAGGTTGATCTGATAAGTCATTTTGCAATTGCCTGAAAATATTAATGTGTCAGCCTTATTGAGGCGCTATGTGACTGTTATTTCTAAGACTTTTTTTCAGCTTATCTGCTGGAAGATGCATTAACCAGTTGACATCCGCGGTGTTAAACCCCCTTCCCATCCAGGCCATTTTTCAGTATTCAGCGCTGCGGAAGGAGAACTATGAGGAGAGGGAAATACACTCCTCCCAATAATTAGAGCCGACATGTGACACTGAAGCTGCCACACATCGGCTCTATTGATCAAGAACTATAATCACATACCACTGATTGCTCAGTTCACGATCTTTTCCCTGCAGAGTCACCTCCCCCTCAGGGATTCCTCTCCAATCCTCCAGCACTGACTGGAGGGACAGACAGGGGAGGGACACAGCTGGCTCTGGCTCTATAGAGGCAGAGCCATCTTTCAGTTAGCGGGATGGATCCTGACAGTATTGTCGGTATCCTTCCCAGCTGCAGTGTGGCTCTGCACTGTCAGTATATTGCCGGCAATAGCCCACTATATGCTGAGTTTTGGTTCACAGGGGGACATTAGTAAATGTTCTCCTGTGACCCTAAAGAGAACTATGGGCAAAAAAAAAGTTTTGGTCATAATTCTCTTTTAATGTGTTCAGCACTTTATGGGATGTGTATTTAAACACTTTCAGTATTGCCCATTCATAATTTTATGCAAGCTTCACAGTGAAGCTGAAGCTGGTCATACACTGTGCGCATTTTCTGGTTCAGCTCCGTGGGCTGAATGAGAAAAAATGCTCCACTTCCCTGGCTATACTAACATAATGTGTGTGGGAGTAACCGCTGGAGGCCGGCAGAGACAGGAACCTGACATTATTGAAATTGTTATATTGGAAAAACAAAATGTTTTTTGTTGAACTTAACACTTGAAAAAAATAAGAAAAAAGGGGAATTTTTTAAGTCTTAATGTCATAGATTAGTATTAGCAGTTAGACATTTAAAGGGGCCTTTAGTGAAAGGACCTGTTTAATGGGCTGAGATGGGAACTATTGACAAATTTTTTTTTTGTCTCATTTTAGGAAGCATCAGGTAAAACCATGATGCCTGTTTATTTAACGCACTAAAGAAACTTTATATTTGTCTCTTTCAGGTTTTTTGTTGAAAAATCGAGGGTCCCATCTTTCTGAACACCAACAGTATCTGCAGCTTTAGCGCCAAATTTCATTTGTATTCTTTCCCTGAACTGACTCGCCGTACCCCCACCCCATCACAGACGGATTCTGGGATCGCCCCCCCATCGTTTAATTCTTTTTTTTTATTTTTTTTATGTACTTGTTTAACCTCTCCTCCATTCAGGAGTATGGGGCTTCATAAAAGGCAGGGATTAGTTGTGGGGGGGAAGACACCCACTCGTTTATCAGAGATTAATCTGTGAACTTGCCACCCTTGCAGGCATTGGCAGAGAAAAGGAGGAGGGATTTTATTCAAAAGGCGCTTTGGGGGGGAAAGGTAGCATTGGCGGGGTGGGAAATATTTGGTCGCTGAAAATATAGAAACACCAGCACATAATTCTATATAGACGTCTGGCACCGATTGTGGCATGAGAGACTGCAGCCTCACTATTGAAGCAGCTGGTTCCTGAGCAAGGACATAAGACACACTGTAGCCTGTGTGTAACCAGTAGAAGAGACTGGTGTCCAAGGGTGGTATGGCAGGAGTGATTAGTGCCTAGGGTGGAGTTCTTTTTAGAATATAAATGACAGCAGGTATTCCACAATCTACACTAGCTTGTTTTCTATGTTTGTGTGTCTGTGTTTTTAGGTTGGTAAATATCCACTGGGTCTGGAATCTTACTTATCGAGCTCAGTTTTTCCTTAATTGCACTATTTTATTTTAACCAGTATAGCTGAAAGCATTTAGTTTTCTTTATCCTTCCTAAGGTATAAAAAAGAAAAGAAAAAAAAGCCAAAGAAAAGAAAAAAGGCCTACCCCCTTCACTGTGGGTAGGATGTATGTGCCATTTTATTTTGTAATGTTCTATTTTTATAGCTTTATTGTGTAGAAGGTTCTGTGGGGAAAACAGATTCCTCTTCAGCATTGTAAGATTTCATTCCTTATAGCCTGTATCCTCCTGTTCATGGCCAAATTCCATAGAATTGTATCTTTAATGTCAAGGCATATGTGGCTATGTGGCATGGTATACAAAGATAACATTATGTGATTTAAGGAGATTAAAGCAGAACTCCAGGGAAATGTGAAAGCTACCCTTTAATTTAGTTATTCAAAATCTTTAATTTTAAGCTCCTAACAGGAGCTTATTAAATGGACCTAATCCCCTTCATCCAGTAATCAGACTGAGAGTGGATGTGCTGGCACCATGAGTCAGGCAAACTCAGTTGCATTTCATGGTGCTGCTTGTCTAGCATGTTTCAGGCTGCAGGAGCAAGTGTTGAGGTAGGCTTGCAGCAGTGGGAGAGCACAGGGATAACTTCTAAGTGGGATGCTCATTCATTACCCAACAAGCAGACGTATAGGTGGGCAGATGACACAGCAACCTGTTGTACTGTGGGATTTTAATTGTGACCTTGCCCTTTGCCTATATGGTATGTCAGGGATGGTTCAATTACTAATTTTGACCGGTAGACCGTTCCGTTCACTGTTTGGCCGAAGTTCTGCTTTAATATCTGATATCGGAAGCAGCCTCCTATTGGGATAGTAATCAATCTGCCAATACAAGAAGGCGCTGGCACACAAGCATTGTGTTTGTGTATAGGAAGGATTCAGTACACAAAGACTCTGACAAGCTTATGAAGATTATATCTCCGAAAACACTATATCAGTGCTTGAAGTCAGAGTGAGTTTCTTACTAGAGCGATCTAGTAGCAGTTATGATTTTACTCCGTACTTTTAAGTACAATATCTTGGCACCATTTTGCACACGATAAAGCTGCTGTCTTTGGAAAATGTATGTTGTAGTGACAATGCTGAGATGTGCCATGCCCAACTGTCAGTTCTTCTTTGTTGTAGTTTTTATCACTTTTTTGTGTATTGTATCTGTTGCTGTAATTATAGCTGTGCTGAAATTTAGCATAAACAAACCCCCAAGGTGTCTAACTCCTCCTGCCTATCCACCCTGAGAGACACAGATCCCACACAGTGCCTGTGAGGCCCTTGGGAGATTAGGCCTGGTGCAATATGCTACTTATTTTACATATGATTATTTTTTTTATTTTATTTTTTTGTGTTTTGTCTGTCATTCTTCATCATGGTCGATATTCACCCTACAGTATGCTGGGAGAACATCATCTCCATTATGGCAGCAAGTGGGTTAAAGCCAGATCTTAGTGTTCCATGTGGAGTGTGTGTGGGGACTGTGTACATTTGTATGTATGTATGTGTAAATATGTCTGTGTATGGATGTATATATATTGAGTGTGAGTTGGTCTGTATAAAGGCATTTGCTCCTAGAGATTGATAATTGTTACCGGTGAGCAGTTTTATAAAACATCTTCCATAATTATGACCGTTTTGGTTATGTTTTTGTTCATGTCCATAACCTTCGAATTAACCAATAAGCGTCTTTGTACCCAACTGACCTGTTACGTGCTCACCCAAGGAGAAGAGTTCAGACTGTGCATTGTGTATTTTCCTAATGAGGATTCATGTTTGTGCCTCAGGCTTTTAAGTCGTAAAAGCAGTTCAAATATCACTGAGCGCAAACAAGACTTTGTCCTGAACTATAACCTGCCACAGTCTATATCTTATACATCACACGCACAATGGTTCCTCATCTTCACCTCTGCTGCTCGTTGGTTATCCATCTCCAAACTTCCATGTCTGATAAGCACAGCAATCATCTCTAATAAGATTACTAGCACATTTAACTGCTCGAAACCCGGCATATGTTTACTCAGCTGTCAGCTGTGGACATTTATATAGCCAGCTTCACACTATGTATTGTGTTTTGTTATATAGGAACTCATAGACATAAAGATCGTGAAACAACTGTAAGGGCTACTTCTTGATCAACTGATCTTTTTTTGACAGACATCATTGCTGGATGTCTGTGAAGGTTGTCTTTCATCCAGGTCATGGTATATCTGTAAAAAAATAAGTCAAGGCAACAGGACTTGCTGTATTTTTCTTGAAGACGTTTCATTGCTGGAGTTAAGTTGGGTGCCAGTCATGTCTGAGGAGGGTTTAAACGAGCACAATCAACCGGTATGGTTGGACCTTTTGGCTGTCACTTTGTCTATGGCTACCAATGAACTGCTCTTTCAGACTCGTTACTTAGTCATTCTTTTATCTAGTGTTCCCCTCTTTTATTAATGTTACAAAAGTGGGTTTTAAGTTGTATCTTTTCAGTCTCGTAAAAAAATATCTACCCATAGTTTGGGTATAATGCATACTGGACCCGTTTTATAAATAGCAAAGGAAAGGAAACAGAATGTCACCCATCACAGCTAATCAGATTACATTTCACATTTTTCAGTGTTGGTGAGACTAGGAAAGCAATTCCAGTTGCAGTTAGAAATCTGGAAACCTTTTCTTCTAGTTTTTAAACCAAGCCCCATGGATAATGACATCAGTCATGGGATATGAAGTATGTGTAACCAAATAGCAGTCTGGGAGATGGGATTGGGATGGAGCAATATGTCTTTATACACACAAGTGTGTGTGTGTGTCCCTGCACTCCTCACCAATTCATTTCAATTGTGGCCCAAAGAGCCTCTCTTTTCTCTTATAAAAACAAATATCTAAACAAAGGATTACATATCTTTCATTTGACATAAGAAATGTTCCTTTTTCATAGCTAATTTTTCTTGTTTCCCTTAATGTTGTTATATAATTATTATTATTGGTAATAAAAAAAAGAAAGTAAAAAAAAAAACCTGAAGTTTGTGTTTTAAGAGGGTAGAATATATAGGTCTGCATGTGGGTCTTCACTCACTTAAGCCCATCTTTGTGTTTGTTTTACATTTTATGTTTTTGTTTAAACATATTTTTTTTTTTCCTCTTCCTTTATTTCACAATTTCTAAAATCTACAATCGTTGCATTTAGCACAGTTTTAGTTTGTAGAGGGCCAATGAACTTGTCCACAGGTGAAGGACCGGAGTAAAACTTTATAAAAGGTGAACATAGTATGTGATTACCCAGCAACTGTTTCTCTGTGTAGTTAGGAGGACATTCAACTTCTGAACACCTGAATGAGAGCAGAGCCCGAAACCATTGATTTTGTTTTGGATGTTGGGTGATTAAAGCTGAACCCCAGACAGATATAAAAGACACAAGTTACTATATCTCTTTTTTTCAGTAATGCAACCTGAGTTGTATTTTAATGAAATGTAATACATTTAAGTACCTGCACCTGACTTGGTATTCGGTCTTTGCAATCCACTGTAAAGCAAATCATTAAAAAGAAACCCATTGCACAGCTGACCGGATAATACCCTCAAGTATCGGGTGGGTGCCAAGCGACCACGCAAATCAGTATGAATATGAAGAAGTCACTCGTACTGCAATCCTCCTCTTTGCCTGGCACCTCTGTAGTGATTTTGTTGTAAGCAGTGCATTGTAAGCAAGCTCATGAGGTTACTCAGACAAGCATAGGCAGCGGGAGAGATCATCAGGGGACTGTTATAGAAATTCACAGCGAGCCATCCTCATCCTTCTCCTAAAGCAAATTCATTGGTTTTGGACATTGCTCTTATTTAATGCTTGGAATCTATTCCGGTGACACATTTCTCGTTTTGCTTGATGAGCCCATTTAGTTGCTTTCTGGACATGAAAAAAAATTGTCAGTACACAGTTGTTGCGGTAAGTGATTTTATTCTTGCAGGTAATCTAATACTACCGGTAATCACAATAATGCCAGAAAAGCAGAGGTGGCATTTTCATTTCTTCTTTGTGATACTACTGTGCCTACTCATCTATGAAATATTTACAATGTATCTTCTCCTTTCTAACATGCAATCTTTAGGGGTTCAGGCACCTAGTGATTTCTATTTTGACATTTGCACACCGTTTTCATTTGCTGCCACAGCAGTGTTTCTAGGCCAAAGCAGCAAAAGGTGGGATGAGCAGTTGTAAGAGTTTATACTTGTGTGTTATGACATTCAGGACTAAGGGATCCTTAAAGTAAAACTCCAGCAGTACAGACTTTAACCTGGTTGACAAGAATCCTTATTCCCTGCTTCTTTAATTGGCTTACTAATTTGCACTGGTCTTCTACAAATAGCAGGCATCTCCTGCAATGTCCTTTATTATGCGCTGAGAGTTCCAACTTGGTGAGATACTTACCTGGGGTTGCTAAACTAGAGTGGTGTCAGAGGAGAAATGTCCATTGCTACAACCCTGACCCTGGCCACATAATTACATACTGAAGACAGCCTCTTCCACCTAAAATAAAAGTGAATCTGCACTTTAAATATCTACAGAACAGAAGCAGGGAATGCTTTCTAAAATCCTTGTGTAAAGTCAACTTCTTTTTTTTTTATTCCTCAACAAAACTGGAGCTTCAATTAAAGGCTGCAGCAGTCCTGTGTACCTGTCCTGAATGCATGACAGCCACATTCCAGCAACCTCTGATCTAATTATTGGGTAGCTTCTTGGAGTAATGGTCAGTATTCTGTATCTTTGATTTGCATGCTTTTTATATGCATCCTTTCTCTTCCTGGAATTTTTTTGTATCTTTTTTTCTTTCTGTTTAAAGATTTCTGTTATTTTTATATTCCTGCCAGATATGTTGTGTTTGCTTCTACTGGAAAATGGCAAACATTCCCAAGAATTAGCTTACTTAGAACACATCGCAGACACTTCAAACAAGCATTTCCTAACATGTACCCCCTGAACATCGACAAATGTATATAAAAGCTCAAACAAGTGATCTTAGGAGTTTTATGGACATGAGACTTAGTTTTGTGATCTCGAGAATCTGAGTAATAAAGACTTGCCTGTGGTGAAA